GGCCGGCTTCTTCCTTCTTACCGTGTTCACCATCTTGTCAAATTCCTCCTGGGAGACGTAGTAGTAATCTAACCGGTTCTCTTCTCCGAAGTAAGGGCTCCTGGTGGTGTGACAGGGGCTGAGAAGGAAGCAGAGCGGAAAGAGGAGCTGTGGCGTGCCCACTTTCTACTCTTCTTTCCCCTTCCTTGAGGACATACTGCCTCCACCGGCTCCCCAAAGGCTCCTCAACGCGTAGGGGCTCCTACCTGTATCTGAAATAGTTGTTGAACTTCCGACAGAGCCTGTGACACAGCTCTCGCTTCCAACAGGCCAAAGGTCCAGTCAAGACCAACATGGGGTAGGGGGCATCAAGGCTGGGCAGGGTGCTGTAGGAAGAGAAGGAAAAGCTTGGCGACGTCCCTCACGGGGGTCAACGAGAACATCCGTGGGCTTCCTCGTTGAGGTCACAGATCAGTGACGGCGAACCTTTTGGAGACCGAGCGCCCAAACCGCAACCCCAAACCCACTTATTGATCGCAAAGTGCCAGGGGCGCATCAGCATTGTGATGCCCTCGGCCCATTGATGACTGGTGGACTTCAACTCCCAGAATCCCTCAGCCAACGTGGACCATAGAAGCCAGGGGTCTTCAAACTTGGCCCTTTGATGACTTGTGGACTTCAACTCCCAGAATTCCTCAGCCAACATGGACCATGTAAGCCAGGGGTCTTCAAACTTGGCCCTCTGATGACTTGTGGACTTCAACTCCCAGAATTCCTCAGCCAGGCACCCTGGGTGAGGAATTCTGGGAGTTGAAGTCCACAAGTCATCAAAGGGCCAAGTTTGAAGACCCCTGTCTTAAATCTAACAAACAAAATGGAGGCTGGCTGAGGAATTCTGGGAGTTGAAGTCCACAAGTCCACAAAGGGCCACGTTTGAAGACCCCCTGTCTTAAATCTGACAAACAAAATGGAGGCTGGCTGAGGAATTCTGGGAGTTGAAGCTCACAAGTCATGAAAGGGCCAAGTTTGAAGACCCCTGTCTTAAATCTAACAAACAAAATGGTGGCTGGCTGAGGAATTCTGGGAGTTGAAGTCCACAAGTCCACAAAGGGCCATGTTTGAAGACCCCCTGTCTTAAATCTGACAAACAAAATGGAGGCTGGCTGAGGAATTCTGGGAGTTGAAGCTCACAAGTCATGAAAGGGCCAAGTTTGAAGACCCCTGTCTTAAATCTAACAAACAAAATGGAGGCTGGCTGAGGAATTCTGGGAGTTGAAGTCCACAAGTCATAAAAGGGCCACGTTTGAAGACCCCTGTCTTAAATCTAACAAACAAAATGGAGGCTGGCTGAGGAATTCTGGGAGTTGAAG